TGCTGTGGCCAGACCGCAACAGAAGAGAGGATGCAGCATAGTTTGTTTTTAATTAATTAATTAATTTTTTACTGTAACTGTGTACAATAAATTCTTCTGTTTTGTATGTAGTGTATGTGCAACTTTGTGTTGGTTGGGAATTGGATGTACACTGTGTACACTGTTTTTGTGGGACAAATAAAATATATTTGTTACTGTGTATTTGTGTGTTCTGAGTATAAAAACAATATTCTCAAAAATTTTACAACACACTTATGTATGTACTGTCTGTAGTAAGTGTAACACTGAACAAAAAAAGGCGTAAGTCATTATGATGAATGGAGAAGAATTGTTTTCCATTCATCATAGTGTTTTACATTGAGCACATCAGTGTTCAACTGTTTGTTCTCTAATGAATGTCTATTCATATAATGGTTTGTGTGTGTCATTTGAAAACAAATACCATTTTGAGAAGAAATAACATTGTTTTGAATGTAAAGTTTCATTTTGCAGGAGAATTGAGGGGTTTTGCCCATTGTGTGTTCTTTGATTTGTGTGTAGAGTTCTGAGAATATGAAGCATTTTTTCAGAAAATGTGTGTAAACAATCGAGGAAAAACTGTAATTTCTTGTGTGCTGCTGTATATAACACTGTGCTACTGCTACAACAGTAATGTTTTACCAAATTTCTGTATTCTGTAACATTGTATTGGTGTTTACAGTGTTCTTTTCAACTCTTCTCAGCAGATTACTTTCACTCTAGAACGCTGTATGGAAACGTACACACAAGCCTATGAAAGACAAAAGAGCTTTAGATTTAGAACAACAGTGTGTAAATGGTATATCCAATCATTTATTATTTTGAGAAAAGTGTTTGCCATCAAATGCAAATGCTTCATTTTGGGATGTGTTTATGGCATTTTGAATGCACTTTTTCATTTTGAAGGACGTATGAGGCATTTTGTGTGAGCAGTTCTGAGAATTGTGTGTAGAGTTTTGAAAAAAGGAGACAAAGTTTTGAAAACGTGTGTAAGCAGTTGTAAAAAACTGTAAAGGAATCTCTACCTGTATGAAGGTATTTTCGTGTCTTTTTAATGCAAGCAATATTTATCGCACTGCAATCAAAAATTAAGTTTGTAATTAAAAATAAACAGGCCTTTTTTGGTGTCACAAAAAGTTTTAATTGCTAATGTGTCCTTATTGATTGCAAGTTAAAAAGTTTTCCTTTCAAGTCAAAGTTTTGCAGGTTCAACCGTTTTGCAAGTTGAAAAGTTTTGCTTGTCAAAAAAGGTCTAAATAAGATTGGTGGTTTGACTGATCAATCTTGGGTTTGCATCAAACGCATCGCCACGCCTACAATCCCCTCGCTCCGACAGCTCCGTCCACTTTCTGGAGATGGAGCTGTAGCGTGTGCAGGCCTTTTTATATACAGTCTATGGTACAGGCTAGATGGAGGTAAGTTGACATTGTGTTGCTCATTTCAATAGAAATGCTTTCGCTAATGTCTCATTTACTGATAGATAACAGCGTACCACGTACTGAGCTCCACACACTATTAAAACCAGCCATTAAGCCTCAGTGGTTTAATCCCAAAGATTATTTCTACGCTAGTCAGGTGATCTTTATACAGTAAAGCGAGGAAAACGAGTAAGTAACTGTGAGACTGAAACAGAGAAGGGTTACGAGAGAGAGAGAGAGAGAGAGAGAGAGAGAGAGAGAGAGAGAGTGGCATGTCTGCTACTGCTTGCTTGGCAGCCTTTTCATCTGGCAGAGGGTGAATATGGATTATGGTTAGGCCTGTTCCACCGTCACAAAGCACAACAACACTACAACATACTGATTAGCACTCACACACATATGCAAACCAAACAGTCTGCCAACTGCAAAACACAATGGTAAAGCCCCATTGGCCTGGGGTGGAGGTTAAAATGACATTTATACATTGGTGTGTTTGTGTTGGTGAGCAGATTAGTGCCACTGTGTCTGTGTTCAAATGAATCATAGGGGCTATGGGACAAAAACAAATTGCATTCGTTTAAAATGCCTGGCAGGTCTCCTACATTTAACTCCATTCATTTTGATCACGGTGGTTATCTTTTATATTACATAAAAAGATGTGAGCGTAGCAGCTGTGAGTAGGTGTGTGTGTGCATGTATTCAGTGAAAAGGGCAAAGTAGCAAAGTGTTAAATGCCAAAACAAGAGTATGTGCTTCTCCACATACGCTTTGATGTTGCTGGAGCTGAAGCTGCTGCCTTTTGGCACAAAGTCACAGCACAGTCTTAGTCTCTCAAAGCGACATGGACAGTGTCAGTAACAAACTTGGCGCTCTCTCTATGACTCACTTACTTACACACACACACACGCACAGGAGCTGTGGTCCAAGACCGTATCCTTATGTCATAGGCATGAGTGTAAACATGGAGGATTATTCATATTAGCTTTCCTCAAAGTGGCGTTTGGCTGGATGCTAAAGCTAATCTCAGTCTGTGAGAATGTCTCTTTGCACTGCAGCCTGTTACTGTTACAGCAGCTCTGCCACGTAACAGAGCTGCTCCAAAAAAGCACTGGCTGGGGACTTTGGTGGTGGTGGTGGTGGTGATGGTAATGATGGTGCTGCTGCGCCATTTGGACACATTTGCCTGGAGGGCTAACACAATACAATGGCAGATTACCTTACACTGCGGACAATGGACGTAAGCTACAAGCTGACAATCACATGACATGGTGGAATGTGGCTGCCCAGCCAGATGGGGATGCTGAGCAGGGACGGCAAAATAGGTCAGACCTCTCAGATTGTCATAAAGTCTGGCTGAAGACATGTTCACAAATCATATTAAATAATACTCTACACTTTTATATTAGAATCACTGTGGGGAAATACATTGTTTGCAGGCAGCTTGCACTCATGCACTTCACGTATACAAACGCTTTAGTCTTTTTTTTTTTAAACCAAGAGTATGTCACAATGACAAAATGCTCTCTTTTCACTATAGATTTCAACTAGGTCAGACAGCCTGTGATGGCAGCCCAAGGCAGAGTTCTGTCTGAACAAAGTCTTTCTGTCTTTTGGTTGTGTTTTTTGCTTCTGACTTATCTTACTTTAGCTTCCATTGTAATTTACCTCATCATAAAAGGGATCGTTTGACAACTTGGGAAATACACTTATTTGCTTTCTTGCTAAGAGTTAGATGAGAAGTTCGATACCATTCTCAAATCTGTCTGCAGAAAAGGAAGCTGGAGCCAGGAGAATGTTAGCTTAGCATAAAGATTGGAAATAGTTAGTCTGGCTCCTTCCAAAGATAAAGAAAATGCCTTCCAGCACCCCTAAAACTCACTAATTAAAGGTGGGATCAGAGAAATCCAATACCATGACAAATACCATGGTACAGAGCGAACATCTACACAGCAAGTAATGTAAGATAAAGAATATGGGTGAAAGAATGGATTAGCACATGCAGGCAGCAGGGGTTGTCTGTGAGTTGGAGGTGAATAAAAAATGTTTTGTAATGAAAAAGTAGCTGCCTGCTCTGGCAACTGCCAACTCTCATTGGCTGGACGTGAATGTCGAGTCTGCCAACAGCTCCAGATATTTAATATGCTAGATATCTGTTGGGCGTCAGCAGTGCGTGTGGGATGTGTGTGCGAGCCTCTTTGATGTGTGGTAGTTCACACATAACTATTGGCGAACGCTGATCGCTCGCTGATTTGCCCCTGATCACAGTCAGGCGACTTGCAAATCGGGCTTAAAATCGTATTGTGTAAACTAGGCTTAAGTTGTGGGTTAGCAAACTGTCGCTACAGTTGCTGCTGCAAAGCTAAAATGCAGAGAGGGCAAGCCGGTTTCCCAGAGCCAGAACAGCAGCTCCAGACAGCGACACACACAAATCTCCTGCAACTCTATCAAACAACACAACAACAGCATGTCTTGGCAAACTAGAAAGTAAGATGAATGTTTAACATTACAGGACAAACCATGTTGTGTGAGCCACTTTGTATACATAGCCATGGCTGTGTAAAAACACCATATTTTGTTTCAGCCCACAGACAGAACAGACAGATAGCGAAGCGTGAGGTCGTCACTGAATTTGGCAGAAAGCTGTGTATTGGGTTAGAGCTAACCCCACCTTTAACACATTATATCTTGTTTGTTTAATATGCACAAAAAACAAAATGTAACACGAAGAAGTTGCTGGAGGGGGTTATGCCTAGCAATCTCAGTGTCAACAAGACTCCAGGAAGTCACTGCTCTCAGCAAAGAAATAGTCTGGCACATAAGCACACCTTGTTTTTTTTTACACTCTTTGTGCTAAGCTAAGCTAAACAGCTTTTTGCTGTAGTCTCATATTTAACTGACAGATATTACAGCGTAGTATCTTCTCAACTAATTCTCTGCAAGAAAGCGAATAAGTGTATTTCCTAACATAACAAAAACCTATTTCAATAACGATTTAAAACATCTTCCCATACATAACAAACATAATCCCTGCGTCATTGACTTAGTTCAATATGCACTCTGTCTTTGAGCTGTGTCATCACAGCATTGAATTTTCCTACTTAAAAACCTATCTTGCTTGCAGAGCTCACAAAAATCAGCTTTATGTAATGACTGGAACCAATTTGCTTGACTGTCAGACATGACAGTTATACCAAGTCTTACACACACACACACACACACACACACACACACACACACACACACACACACACACACACTGTAACACAGCGTCTGTACAAATCCATCCAGGCCTACAAATGCCTACAAGAGAGATGCTAATCCTCTGACCTATTTGATCCCTTGTCACCATTGTTACTGTGTGACAGACGTCGTGCCAATGGGCAGCCAGCTGTGTTAGGACGAGTTTATAAGGTCATGCTGCAGAGTTCATAGAGGGATTACCCTTCTAATTTATTCTAAAGGAATGAATCACTTCTCTAATAAAAACAAACTGCATTCCTTCAAAGTATCCAATTTTTGTCCGATTTTTTGTGTTACTCCAATGTACACTTGCATAGAAAATACCTGGGCCTCATCTCCATGATCGGCTGGTGGTGAGGGTTCTCCTGGCAGCGGCTCTCCATTGTGAACAGGGGAGTCCTGGGAGGGTGTGTCAGGGGGGTTGATGACAACAGACCTCTCTGATCGACTGCTGTCTTTACTGCTGCTGGCCTTGTGCCGCTCACGGCTTCGATCCCTGGAGACGCACAATGAACATTAAGAAAGGTACAAGAGGAATAGAAAAGTAAGATCAAGCGTTAAAATGTTGGATTGATTGTCATTTCCAGTAAGCGTCCAACGGTCATGTTTGATTTGACACAACACTATCCTGTCAAACTTTATGCAAGTCGATTGGCAGAAATTTTTTATCAACCATTTTCATAATCTTTTAATCACTGAAATATTTTTTGAAGCAGTCTCCTGGTTCCACCTTCTCAAAAATGTGCATAAATCAGATGCTTTCTTTTTTCTTTAATGATAGTAAACTGAATATGTTTGGGTGTTGGATTATTTGTCTGACAAATCAAGACACATTAAGATGTCACCATGGCCTCTGGGAACTTGTGATTGAAAAATGATTAATCAATAAATAGGTACAATAATAGTCAGAATATTCAATAATGAAAATAATTGTTATTTGTAGCCTTACATGGCAAAAAAGCTGGTAGAAAGGAAGGGGAAGGGAACACAGGAGTGAGGAATTGACAGGTCAGGAATGAAATGATTCTCTCGTTTGCAGAATGAGCCGAGTGAATCACTGAAATAGGCTAGAGCCAGTCAGCTGTGACGACCCTAATCCACAAGATCTGTCTGTCTCAATCTCTTGCTTGTTCTCTCTCTGTCTCTCTCTTAGTCTCTCAACTGATTTATCTGGCTATAACCAACATGTGGCCTGCTCATATTGGTGAAACAAATGCCTCAAACTCAATGTGCACTGAAGGTATTGCATGAAATACTACTGTAAAGTGTGCTGCGAGAGATGCGGCATGTGATCTAGCAATCACAAGAAGGGAGAGACAGTCAGATGGAAAGGCGGGCAGACAGGAAGCATACCCATGTCGGTTTGATCTCCCGGAGCGGCTGGAGTGATAGGAGTAGCCCGAGTGGGTCGATTCAGTGTCCATTCCAACACAGTTCAGAGCCAGTGATTGGCCAGGGGTATGAGGAGAGATTCGTGGTGTGGCAGAGAGGGTAAGTTGGCAGCAGTAATCAGAAGGAGCAATGGGTTGCTATAGAGACGGGCCTCAGGAATCCACGACGACTGACAACGACTCCAGAGAGCTGCTTTAGTAGCCACATTGACCTGAGAGATGGAGAGATAGAGGCTTGCATTAAAACTTGCTTTCAACATCTAACAAGTAATGCATTCAATATATAGCCAGGCTACCGGGCAGTTTATTTCTGTACACCTGCACTGTAGGACTGGAAGGGCAGGTAGATACATAAGATTATATCATTTATGTATGGACCAGGCAGGTTTATTCCTGTCTACCTCTGTAAAATGCATTCCCCCCTGTCTCTTACAGCTATAAAATGGATAATGGATAATCTTCCGTCTGTTCTGAATTTAGCAAAACTTGCATTTTTTGGGCATTCATCATTTTGAAAACCAACTTTATTTTTTTATTTTAAACAAATAAATTCTCAGTTTTAGATAAATCTACCAGACTCACTTCCTGGGTGCTAATATATGCATGAGGATGTCTCAGCGCTTCACCATGCATGACCATTCATTTAAGCCTCAATCTACACCCTGCCTGTCTCCCAGCTGTTGTCCTGACAACCACCTGCCAATCAGCAACCCGTAGCCCAGTCTCACTTTATAACCGGGATTATTCTTCCTTCCCGTCATTTACAGGCTATTTGTTATCTCTGCAGCCAATGGAGCATATAAACAGTAAAACAGCCCATTCAGCATATTAGGATGTGAATGCACACGGCGGCATGGAGATCACGCTATGCGGAATGATGGTTAGAAGAACAGACTGCAATGTAGCTGATTTCCATTAAGATGATGATGATGGTTTTTTTCTCTTCTTCCGTTACCCACCATGGGAAATGTGAATGGTGCATAAAGGAACCACAGATTTTCCATTAGGCTTTGCGGTACAATGCATATAATTAATGTACATTACCACTGCCTGTCTATGGGATTACATGTGTCAGACAAAAGCTAGACTTTGTATTATCTTGCAGACCTGTATAGTAACGTACTATCATACATTTGTGACAGAAAGCACCATTTCTCTGAGACTGAATCGGACATCAGTCTCCACTGATACAGCCACTTACTGCTCTCAATGCTACTGAGAGCAGGGGAACATGTGTCAAACAAGGCAGTGCTTTATATATGCAGGACTTCAATAAATATTGTACTTGAACAGACTGTTACATACCACTCACGGCATCAAAGCTAATGTTGTAGCATCAAATTTTAAAAAAGGCATAAGAATTGACAGAGGAAGGTCTCATCTCTAACCCACATCTGAAGCGTCCACTGTTGCCTTGGCAACACTGGAGAAAGAAGGCCCCATCTAGCAACAATAATCAATCACCCCTGCTGAGAGTAAATTTGTGTGATACACTTAAGTATGTCTGTGTGTGTGTGTGTGTGTGTGTGTGTGTGTGTGTGTGAGAGAGTGAGGGTGGGGGGTGGCACAGTGAGAGGAAGCAAAGAGCAAACAATGGCTTCTCATCACACCCAGGACCTGTATGGTTAAATGAATAAGGCTATGCTTTGAATAAAAAAGCTGTTAACCCCCTGAGTGCTGAACTCTGAACGCGTGGCAGTGGTATGTGGGCCAAGATGATCCCTCTGAGAGGCCACTCATCCACGAGACGAGCATGAAGAGGCATAGTGAACCAGGCCATGTGGAAAATCGCAGCCACGGGGTAAGAAAAACTATCAGTTACAAACCAATGGATAACTATGAATAAAGCATGCGGGCATAACAACGTGCGTTAGAGACGTGCGGCTGCCTGCTTACTCTGAGTCAGTCCATCCAAAAAACTCAGTAGTCCTCTCGGAGGGACTCGGGAAAATGCATTCTCTAGTGAAGCGTAGTTGCTTCGCCGAAGACCGTTCCGGTTGGCTGCACAGAGGAGAGATTCACAGGGGCAGAAAGTGACACTAATGTAAAACAAACACTCATTAACGTGTTTGTTTAGTGGATGGAGAGTGTTGCACAGCGGGAGCTACTGTAATTACGTATGGCCATGCTCAGAGGAACAGGCACATGTGGTGTTGTGGGATCATTTGTCTTTTCGTTTTATTCCAATGAGAGAATTTAACCAGGCTGTACTACTGCAGTGTGTGGGTCTCTGTGGGGAGAGCTGTAACATCTGATAGGTAAGGTAGTTCGCAAAATTTTGCCCCCTGCTGATGCAATTCACCAATAAATAATAAAACTGAGAATGTGGGATTTTAGTTTGATGTCCTCGGCTACAAAGACTTTGGTCTCCAATCTGGACAGGGAAGGAGAGGTGTGGAATTTGAGGTTCCGTTCAAGTGTCTGATGCACTGCTGGCACCCTAAACGGCGCAGATCAGCCTCATAGCTCATCTAGAGCACATGCTGAGGCCTGGTTACCATGGCATCTGTGCCCTCCCTCACACCCATTAGCCCTCGTGTCTTCTACTCTTCATCTGTGCCCTGCCCTGGTGGCATAATGCCATAATCTGCCAGATGCAGCAGCTGGCAGTCTGCTGTGTTAGTTTATTTCCTTTATCGTTTGTTTCACAATTTCATAGCAAACTACACGACCCCATCAAGTACATATAAAACAGATATTACTTTAGGACCACAAGTAATGATTACTTTCATTTCTGTTAAATCTGCTGATTATTTTCTTGATGAATTGATTAACCATTTGCTCTATACAGTGTAATTTATGGTGATTCTGTTTTCCAGAGCCCAATTGCTTGTTTTGCCAGTTAAATACCAATAGTATCTAGTTTACTATCACAGAAGATTGAGAAAACCACCAAATTGTCACACTTGATTGATGACCTGGGTTTTTACTAAAAATGCTGTAAACAATTAACTGATTATTAAAAATGTTGCTGATTTTCTATCTATTGACAGAATTACAGGCTAATAATTTCAGCTTTATATTGCTGTGGCAAAAAAAACAAGCAAAAGCACACACACACACACACACACACACACACACACACACACACACACACACACACACACACACACACACACACAGTAAGCTGGGTAAGGCTTCTTTGAAATCAAACAAAGGGCAACACAGTGTGTGCCAGTGTTATTTATAGTGATAACAATCTCCAATCCCTCCATGGACTTTAGATAAACCAGAGGAACAGCTGCTGATTATCGTATTATAACATCGCTGTTGACTGACTAAAACCACACAAACAGAGCCAAAGATGCAGAGACTGTGAAACTCCCATGGAAACAGCTTCTTATTTTTTTACTTGGTGGACCTCACCATTAGGATGCATGATGTAATTAGGAACTTGCCTCACGTGTAATTTCCCTTCATTGTTTGCTGACATTTGATTCTTGGCACAAAGGTATTTGTTCGACAAGTACAGGGAGCAAACCTGTGACCTTTGAGTGACTGGATAGTCTCAGCCTCTCCCACCCTGCTGCTCTTTGAGACACCCACACCCACCCACCCACACACACATCCACATCCACATCCACACATACTTCACAGTAAAAGGAGAAAGTTAAGACCTGACACAGTTCTCTGGAATGTAAACTTGCCCCCCCCCCCTCCCGATCTGCTCATGTGGAACTAAATAAGAGTACAGTACAGGGAGAGGGAGTGAGGTGGTGCGCGTGGGAGAAATATCTCAGTACGTTCCTAAGAGCAGTGCTTTTATGTCTGTAAATACACTACTGTACACTACTCTACAATGCACAAGGCAGTGCACCATGCTATCCGAGCGTTTCAGGCTCCTAATGCTCCTCAGTAGCCTAAAGGTAGCTCCTCTTCTCATTACTCTTGTGACACACTTCCTTGCAAGCCAGAAAACATGGTTTAAAAGAGAACAATGACAAAAGCACTGCCAACACCACTTTCTTTTGATCATTCATGGCTTCAAGGGGATGACTCATCTATGTAAGGGGTTCCCATGCCTCACAGTGTCCCTAACCCTCTCTGCACAGGACCTGTCAGCACTGCTCAATAATGAATGACAAAAGGTGCTGCACAGTTTCACTGCAGCATCATGACTCTGAGATACTGAGGAGGACAGCACCGGCGGTGTCAGAGAAGGCACGTGAATAGTAACACCTCATCCAGCTGTGCGAAGTGTGCTCTCCAGACAGCTGCAGATGATGGCGACACACACCCTGCAGCGGCGGCTTGATCTGAACCCCCCTTTATTTTACAGGCTTCTGGGTCTGAGAGAGAGCCAGGGATGTGGTGAAAGGCTACTTCTCTGTTACACAGCTACTAGTTTCGGTTACAATAGATCTCGTTTCAGTCGCATCCCGAATACCATTAACCACAGCAGGTTGCTTTCACTGCAAATAACGCATGCATTATTTTGGTTCTATACGTATTTATTTACACATAAAAGGGAACTGAAGCAAAATGCATAAAGGTCAGCCCGATAAAATATGGGTAAGGAGGACTAAATCTGTCTGATGAGAAGGAAACCATTTTTTTCCACGACGGCAGCATTGAACTTCATCAGTAATTCCTTTGAGGGGTTGTGGCTCAGGCTTGTTGCAAGGATATCCCCGGTGTAATGAAGAGAGCATCGTGATTATCAATTAATTTACCTACCTTTTCTTCCCCAGATGTTTGTGTCACATTCCTCCTATCGCGTCTCGGTGTCAGTGAATCTGCCGCCGTGCTGAGGCGCGTCTGCACTGTAGCCTAGTGACGGGAGCAGGTCCCTCACACGAGCCTGACCATTGCGGTTAGCAGCACCGGAGAGGGAGGCAGTATGGAGGTGCAATACACTTCAAGTGCACTAAAATTAGTACTTTCAGCTACAGCCCACAAGAGGTCGTCGAAGAAGAACTGATACAAGCAGGAAGTTGGCCCATTTCCCCCTATGAATCAAAGTTGGAAATCATACTCTATTCAAAAATGCGTCTTGCTTATTGTTACTTGTGCTGGGTGTTTCATTTTCACTGTGCAGAATGATGTATGTGCAGAGTTTGACACATAGCCTTCAAGAATGCACATGCACATTCATCTGCTGAAGGGGGAAGGTTTCTCTGTGCTCACCTTAAAATCTGAATTTTGACATCAGAAGTAGTTTGAAAGTCAATGTGGTCCTACATGCAATTTAAACAAGTGAAATGTGGAAACTTGAAACCTCCAAGTCACATGCACTGAGGATAGACATCTCGGCGAAGTAGGAGACGTGGTTTCCAAAACTTCTAATATCTGCATATTCATTGAATGCGCATTTTTCAGATAGGGGGAACGATTAAATGCAATTTAATACTTTCTTAACTGAACTTTAAAACAAAACAAACAAACAAACAAAAGGTATTTTTAATACCATTAATTTTTTATGTATGTTGGCTTTAGGTGTCTTGGAAAATGTCATAATTGTGAAAATTGTATTGTCATATGTGTGTCAATGTAACTTTTTTAAATGCTTTTTTGCTGCCTTTCTTGGCCTCCACTCAAATGAAAAAAGAGATTATATCTCAATGGGCTTCTTCTTGATTAAATAATGGTGAAATAAAATAAAACATAAAAATAAGATCAAATAAGATCAATAAGATCATATAATAAGATCAAAGAAATATTCCAGAACCATTTTAGTGATCTTAACTTAAATATTATCATGTAGCATTTTGAGCAGCTGCAAGGATGGATTACCAACCAGTATCTACTGACACAATTAGCCTTAAGGTGGATCCTGCTTCAATACCTGATCTTGAGGCCCTGTGTCATCCCAGAAATGCAGTTTCTAGAAGTTTTGATGTCAAATGAGATCAGTGCTTTGAGCCTGTGATATACACAGACAGGTTGAGGGTCAAGACATGTCACCTCTGGACTTTGGGAGACAGAGACTGGGTTGAGGTGGAAGGCATACATCTGCCACAAATTATTTGTGATTTGGATAAATTGCCCAATTCAGGGCATTCCATTTCTGGTATGTAAGAGAGAGAGTGAATTTTTCACTATTGTGAAAAGGGTCACTTTTACACCCAAGGAAAAAAATGTAGGCCTAGGCCATAGAGTAGGATGGTGGCATTTGTGAAAAAATAATTTCAATAAATGTCCAACAGATGTTTGCTGCATTTTATTTGCTGAATCAAGAACAAGAAAACCCAACAATAAAATAAGTAATACCGAATATAATGTTGAGTTTTAAAGTTTATAAGGTCATTTAAGGGTTGCAGAACATTTCATCATATCAGATCTTTAAAAGTTCACGTGTCCTTTTTAAAGCACCCCAACAAGAGCAAAATTGAAATTTGTCAAGAATTTCATAACAACTGAACAAACTCTTTCTGCTGATGAATCTTATGTGATATGATCAAAACCTCCAGCACAGCTACTAAAAGCAAATAAGCAATGTTAACTTGGCCTAGTTGGTGAGAAAATAATACTTAAAATACTTCTGTTGCCCACCTTAATTGTTGTAGGCAAAAATACGGCATAAATATTCTTACACCGAGACACCAGGTGAAATCAAGTAATGAGCTTACAAAAAAACAAGCCACAGAGGACTAAAATTTAAACCACTTCCGTTACAAGACTGTAAAGTAACTCAACAAAACATGCAGGCATGATGAGTATGATTCAGATCCACATGGCCATACGATTGTCTCAAACATTTTTGAGACAGCTATACGGGCCTCTTTAAGCAATAAAATGTGATTGATTCCCTTTAAAATACATCCACAGAGGCCAAGTATAAAAGAAAGTCAACATGAACTTTTGACAGTTATAGATTTCCCCCATGAAACTCCATCAGAGGGCAGTATTGCTCCTTCCAAACACTGTCTGACAAGTCTTGAACTGATGGATGTGCAGGAAGCATAACATTTAAAGAGGAAATAACGTTCAAACCACAGCTCCAAACCTGTTCACACATGAAAGTAAATTTAACTTCAGGTGAAAATTCAACTTAATTCCCACACATGGTGCATGTGTGTGAGTCTTAAATGGCCTACAGTTCTCACCTAGTTTCAATATTTGACCCAGATTGGTTCAGCTAAACACAATGTTAATAACCAAATGGGATTCACAAGTGTCCCTGCCCCATTTTTCTTAAACTCTGATGTTAGGCTTGGCCTCTCTCCCTCTGCTCCCCAACATGCCTATTGTATCCAGTGTGTAGACCAAGTGTGTAGTGTGTGCAGAGTCCCGTGTTTAGACAAAGCGCTGTCACTCCTCCTGCTGGAGTGGACATGAACAATACCTCGAGCCCCTTGGGCCACATTACACCGCAGAGACTTGCATAAAGGGACAAGAGAAGGCGGATAGGCAGCTTCTGACTAATGGAAGCTGCCTGGTCTCATACCATCTTTTGGTAACGTGCAAAGCCAGAGCAGAACGTCAAAACACTGAGAAAAAAATAGAATATTCAGTGTGCCCATAAATTATGTTACAAAAATGAATATTTAAATATTGCGTTGACATTAATCCCAAAACTTACTTCTGCTTATTTCTTTCTTGTCTTTTAAAATAGAAATTCCTACTAATGCTATGAAAAATTGAGACAATCATGCATCCCTAACATAGCATACACAGTTTTGAAAAATATTCTAAAATGTGTTTGGCCTTCTCTCACTGCCATTTTCCCCTACAGTATAAAGTCATCGCTGCTACATTAAATTTGAGTTAGTACCAAGTTTTTTTTTTGTTTTTGTCTTGTAGACTTTCACATTACAGTCTCATTTGTATGTATGTGAATTGGTGTGTTTTTGTGTGCATGTGTGTGTGTGTGTGTGTGTGTCCAGCGAGGAAGCAGCACCATAATATGGTTGTTTTGGTTCATCAGGAGAAACACCTGCCCTATCCCGAGGGAGAGAAACCACATCAAATACAGGAACACATTGTGTGGTAGCTTCCTTTAGTAGCTTTACTTCAAGTAACTTACTTCAAGAGCCACATAAATAAACACTGAAAATCTCAAACAGGCTACTTGCAAAATGCATTCAGTGGACACATGAACTAGGCCCACACATCAGATTTTTGCCTTATGGCCTCAGAGATGTTCTAATCTAATTGGGATCAAACAGGTTTCAAACATTTTTAGTTGTCATAGTTTGTTTCCAACAGATGGATTTCAAACTCACTTCCAGCTGCAACTGAAGTCCAGTAGACTACTTTTTTTGTGTGTTTACAAATTGGTGCAAAGAGGAAACAATGTCACAACAGATGGTCTGAACAAGGCAGCACAGTTAAGGCCAAACAATGCAATGTTTTAGCTGTTTGGCTACATGAATATACAGTACAGCAGCTTTCAAAATGTTTCTATTTGAAGACAGTAAGCATATAGTCTGGATGCAAGTGTTTCCATGATGAAAAGTCAGTAGCCTATGACATTCGCATAATAATCTTATGATGCACTGTAGTAGAGTTACTCCATTGGGTATTATTCAAATCATGTCCTAGAATATCATTTATTGTTACTTCCAGGAATCATTCAGCTGTCAAACAGTCATCATGCCGTCATCTATTCTTCTGTTGGTCCTCACAGCCTAAACATCCAGCACGTGGTTGAGGTAGGAGATGTAACAAATCGCGAGTCGCAGGATCTCAATCTTGGACAACTTCTTGTCTGGTGGGAGAGTTGGGAGCAGTTTCCTCAGATCCGCAAACGCCACGTTGAAGGCCACGACACGGACCCGCTCCCTGGTGGCGTGCGCGGAACGATATTTAGCTGTCGCGCGCCTCCTCCGCCTCTTCTCCTCCCTGCTGAGAGCGGGCACGTGCACGGAGCGCGCCTTGCCCTCTCGGTCCCCGGGCTCGGCCGGCACGAACCCACGCTGCACGTTGAAATGGTCCAGATGGGTCTCAGTGTCCGTTTGTCCGCAGGGCAGGTCGGCCTCGTGCTGGTCTGGACTGAGCATCATGCTTATTTCCTCAGACTGGGAAGATCCTGAAGGAAAATGATCATTAGAAATACATCCAGAGATGTTTGGACCTGACTCTGTTTCATGACTAGTTGCCAGAACTGGATCAAATGGCTCAATATTTGGCAAGGAAAGATATACACGAATACTCATGTGCTCATCTTAAGTAGATGGAGCATCTCATACTTTTACTTACATACTTACTTTTAAGTTTTACTTTTAAGAAAATTACAATGGGATGGGCTGTTTTTAAAAATAGAGTTTTAGTTGTTTAGTTGTGTGACATTATGATTGAACTGACGGCTTGTGTTCATCGACTCTCTCTTTGGTTGATCTTTTGACAGTCAGATTTATTTTTTGTCGGTCAAATTGTGAAACTTGACGAGACATGGGACCCAGAAATATGAGGGCCTCGTGCTGCCTCCTAGTGCCGGATCCACACATTTGCTGCTAGCAGAGCCCTGCGCTGTCCGAGGTGCTGAAACAATATGAAGACTCCAAAAACAAAGGCCAGTTATCAAGTAAGTTTAAGCCCACATTTTTCTCTCTCAAAACAATTGAAGTATGGAACTATACCAAGCATTAGTGAGGTGTAGAATATCATATTCTGCTTGGTGAAATTACTTAATCTATAGTGTGTATGGAGGAATTGTAATACTTCTAGGCATTTCCCCTATTTGTTTAAAGAAAATACATTTTTTTTACAAACACATTAACAACTCAGAACATCTTTCTTTTCTGCGCTGAATTTCTCATTTTGAAAATAAGCTTGGCTACCTGTTTCCAACAAGCTGGAACATCTTCAAGACGAATTATTTTCTATATTCTCTTTTTGTGTTTGAATTTCACAACATGTTTCTTGCTTTTTAAACTTATAAACACTTAGACCTAAAGCTTGCAATTACATAAGCCTATATAAAGAACAGGTCAGACCTTTGAAACAGCGTAGCAGTGCAATGCTTGTAACTTACCGTGCACATAATAAAAAACAGAGCCATCAAGAATCTCACATGTTAAAGCAGCGTCCCTTCTTCAGTGCAGGTACCAGCTCATAAAGTGATGCCCCCATCTCTGCTGTCTTGGTTTTTTATTTGGTTGAATCCTATCAAAGAGCTGCAAACGGGACGTCGGATAAGGTTTGAATTATTCGGGTGAAAAAGCGATGCAGTCACGCTTGTCCTCCTCCCTGTCCGGCATGGTGTCAAGTGCACATGACGTCCTTCAGTAAGTGACAGTCTGGCTTGTTGATCCGTTGGTCTCTTTCTTCCATCCAACCTCGCCTGCTTGCGCGCAAGATAAGACAGCCCTGTAAAAGTGAGGCGAAGTGACGACATTCGCAGCGGGATAATGAGTTGTTGTCCAAACCTCGTCTTGCTCTCACTTTCATTCCCGGCAGATGAAACGCGCACGCATGCGCGCGGAGCTTTATTAGTTAGGCCTAGCAGATTTGTTTAGAGGTGCAGCCGTTTCAAAGGTTACAGCCCAGTGAACTTATTAGGAGCCTTGTTGTCGATGAACGTAAACAGACGTGAAACTACCTCCAATGACGCCATCGTTTCCTGGATCCTCTTAGTACTATAAGGTCAAGTGAGCACCTGTGTCTAAACAGAAGGGAAATCAAGTAAAATAGGTCTTTTAGTCTACATTGCCAAAACACAAATTGCCTTCTGGTCTGCCTATTGAAACTACACTGCTCAAAAGAATAAAGGGAACACTTAAAAAACACAATGTAACTCTAAGTCAATCACACTCCTGTGAAATCAAACTGTCCACTTAGGAAGCAACACTGATTGACAATCAATTTGACATGCTGTTGTGCAAATGGAATAAACAACAGGAATTGTAGGTAATTAGCAAGACAACCCCAATAAAGGAGTGGTTCTGCAGGTGGTGACCACAGACCAGTTCATATGCTTCCTGGCTGATGTTTTGGTCACTTTTGAATGCTGGCGGTGCTTTCACTCTAGTGGTAGCATGAGACGGAGTCTACAACCCACACAAGTGGCTCAGGTAGTGCAGCGCATCCAGGATGGCACATCAATGCGAGCTGAGAGCCCTGCAAAATTACCTCCAGCAGGACACAAATGTGAGAGATCCCTCAGGAGACCATCCGCCACCTCATCAGGAGCATGCCCAGGCGTTGTAGGGAAGTCATACAGGCACGTGGAGGCCACACACACTAATGAGCCTCATTTTGACTTGTTTTAACACATTACATCAAAGTTGGATCGGCCTGCAGTGTGGTTTTCCACTTTGATTTTGAGTGTGACTCCAAATCCAGACCTCCATGGGTTGATAAATTTGATTTCCATTGATAATTTTTTTGTGATTTTGTTGTCAGCACATTCAACTATGTAAAGAAAGGAGTATTTAATGAGATCATTTCATTCATTCAGATCTAGGATGTGTTATTTTAGTGTTCCCTTTATTTTTTTGAGCAGTGTATAAAAACAGAAACGGCTCATTGTAGCCTCTGACCGAAAGAAAGATCTGAAGTCCTATATGTGAAGCCTGAGCTGGTGATGAGAGTTTTAAAAGCCCAAATGGGCCTTTTGATAGCTGGGGATGTGCACAACATTGCAGTGCACAACATTTGGTCTGTTAATTTCACCGGAGCACTAACTTTGCCATTTGCTGCAATTTGTCAGGCCAAGTGCTGATAGAGATGTGGGGCAAAGAGATGGAGGGTGAGGGAAAAGCAGTGTGTATGAGGGCTGTAAATGTCATGAAGTGGTGAGCACAAAGCAGGTGTGAGCCCAAATGCAAGACACTCAGAGCGAAGATGAAGTTCAGGGATTTAATCCAGATAGGAGCAACACAAAACAGGGCTTACAGGTAGTTGAATAAACCAAAACAGCAGAGAAACAGTTAGGACGCTACACAGATAAAACAACAGAGTGTATACACAATACAATGACCGGACATAGATAGAGGAAACTAGCAAGTATATATACACTAATGAGCTATGAGGGGGATCCACAGGTGAAAGACATGAGGGACAATTCAGGCACACAGACAGGCAGAGTGACAGCAGCAGAAAACAGACAGATACAAAACACAAGACCATGCACTAACTGGAACTCAAGGTACTTAGCGGACAAGCAGGCAGAGGAATTACTGGGGTAACAGACATAACACAGGTTACTGAACACGGGCCATAACAAAACAAGATGTAACAGATCAGAATGATAAAAATAACAAACTAACTCAGACACAAGCAGAGATATCACAACTAACACCAACAAGGAACACAGACTGAAGCTAAGATAAAACAGAGCTCAGAGCAGACATGGGCAAAACAACACAGACGTTTACAGACCAGAAATAAACACTAAGGCATGAACTAAGGTACAGGACTGGGAACTAAGACACAAAACAAGGAACTAAGAAAAGAGACAAGACAGATACTAAGTAACTTAAAGATGCGGATGAATAATAATAATAAAGGCTACACAGAGACTAAAACAGAATGATTCAATTCTTAAATCTTAAATCTTAAATCAGATTAATTAAAGAAACTGGCAGAGAACATAAATAGACACCTAGCAAACAGACAGAACACAAGCATGATGGTATAGAAACTAATACATGAGACTGGGACATAACTGAAATCAGGAACATTCCAAAACACCACTAAACACCAGCTGACGGATAATAACCAGATAAACAATAACATCAGGTAGAGGACGCACACTAAAGGTAGCAAGCAAACTAAAAACTAAGTCTAAACTAACAGCACAGCAAAAGGGGCTCTAATTAATAAGACAAGGCGGCTAAGGGAGACAAGATAACAGAACAACACAGACCACAAAGACTGGATACAAGACCACAGACAATATAACAGATACCTAACTGATAAATGAATAAACTCAGAGAACTAAGCGGAACAGATGACAGGACTAACATGCAGATACAAAACCAAACTCTCAGAATCAAACCCCAAAAACACAGCACTCAGGACAGGATCGTGACAGTAAATCAAAACAGCTCATTTATCCAAGCAAGGAACGACAAAAAAAGGTGGACACGAAGTTTAATATGGTTACTAAATCTTTTGTATTTTTACTACATCATCTTCACAGTATCTATAGAGGAATAAAGCCTGACATTGTGGTTCAGTTTGTGTTTATAGGCTGTTGTGTGGTAAGTGTGGCATTGGGGCTGTGGCATTTTATCTCTGATCTGCTCATCTCTTAGAGGGAAATGTCAGTGCTAATCATTGCTAACATAATCATTGTGAGTAAAAATATTTCCACAGACACTGTCAGAAATGGCACCATAAATGCTCAGCTGGGATCATGTGTGGTTATTGAGAAGGCCTTGGCATATGGCTAACATCATTATCATTCCCTCTCCAAGATGCGACCATTTCTGTCTTGTCGATTGGGAAATATCATCCTGGATACGCTGCTCATCACAGGAAGAATTGTTATTAGTCAACATTAGTACTTGCACGCCCTTCTCAGTGATGATCTGATTGATTCGAGGGCAGGGAATGCATTTCTTCAGTCTGGTTAAAGTTAATGGGGTTGCTTCATTGATTTGGATGCATGATATAAATTGATGGGAGAGTATCATGGCTCATCCTTAAATACTGTGTGTGTATAATTTAACTGTGAAAAAAGTGAAAACAGCAATGGTGAAAAGGGGATAAGTTCTTATTTAGGGATATATATGATCTTCAGGAGAATACAGTGACAATGTTTTTGGTTTTGTGGTAGCCACTTTGTCAGGAGGACACTAAGCGATAGATGAGGGTCAGCGAGTTTGGTGTTGACATGGTCATGAAAAAGTGTGTGTGCGTGCAGTGAATGTAGTGTGATTTTCATGACAGCCCACCTGTGTGCAGTAACTGCAGAACAGACACTATAACACCGTGAAAAAATGTCAATCAAAAACAAGACAAGTGTCACAAGGAAAATGCAGGGTTGGACCCAAGTGCAGACAAAGGCAATACACTTTTACTGGTTTATTGATGCATCACTGCTTTTATGTAGGCAGACAGACTGGCAGGGAGGCAGGCATGCAGGCACAGCAGATGAAGGAAGGTGGAAAAGTCTGAGGGCATCTGGTGGATGAGTAGTGAATGACAATCATGGCAAGAAATTGCATGTGAAGGGGAGAAGAGAAAGGATATTATGAAATCTGAAAATCAGTACATCAATACATTCAACAGTTAAAAACATTATCTGTATATATATATTAGAACCATGTGCATCCTAAAGAAAATTAGCATTTATTACCATCTTACAATCACTTCTGTCTATAGTAGAAGCATGCAGCTGGCTGTTTAGCAAACAGACAGCTCTTGGTACTGAAATGAAGTCTAGATGCACATATTAATGAAAACAAATGACTAGAACGCTTCATTTAAAGTTCACAGTGCTGTAATTCTTTAATTCAAGTACTTGTTCACTATTTCACTGAAAGATTCATCATCTTTGTAGGTAGGGCCATAACATTTTAGCAAGGTAGATGTAACAACGTAACCTTGGCTAATTCTGGCATTTCCATTGTATTCAATGTTGATTAATGTGTACTATCTCTAATAAATGGAAAAAAGTACAAACACAATTAATGTCAAGATTAAATCAGGCTAAAATGTACACATGTGGTCCATTCTTCTCTGAAATTTCCTTTTTTATTCATCTACCTTTCATTTTACAGTAAGGGTTTTGAGAAAAACCTCCAGCTTTGGTCCAGCTTCACAGTATAGTCTAATGAACAAATAATGCCCGATCCCTACACATCTGTCAGAACTTTAACTCTATACTGCAGATTCAGGATATGCTCAGACACCTGGCCAGGACTAATGATGCAATGCATGAAGATCATACAGTATAATCAGATAATAAAAAAGTCCTGTGTCTGGACTGCAGTTATAAACTGCTCTCTCTTGTGCCCCCACCCCCTTTGTTTTACACCAATTCTCCTGGGTTTTAACTCCTCGTCTGTCTCAGCTTGGACACCATCTGTTTAAAGGCCAGAGCCACCAACCTCACTTTTTAAAAACAAAATCTCCTCCTCCTCATCTGCTCATGCATGCACACGTCGTCTTGTGTTAATGAACATGCACGTGTGACATCTTTTGCTCACATCTACAGTAAAACAAAGACATTTTCAGTATGTTTCCCAGTTCTGTATTTCAGTGATGAAAAAGTGCATATTCTGCAGGTTTAAGTCCAATGTGTTGTTCCTCCTTAATTCTTACTTTCTATCGCTTTTACCCCGTCATGTACCAGTTTCAGTAACCCTCATGTGTTGCCCACAAATCACGCACTGTCAATGCCCCCACCCCCAGTTCTCTTCTCTGTCTGGTTACCATCTGCTGTCATATATTCTTTCTGCTGATTTGGAATCCGATGACATCTAATCGATCAGCTTTGTCACCATGGCTACAGCAGTGAGGAGGAAGAGGGGAGGAGGGGAGGCGAGGTGAGACATTACAGCAGCTGTGCTGCGTTTGTCAACGTTTTTGGCAAAGCTTCCAAAAGCACTTTTCTAATTAATTAATGAAGGAAAATGAGGCACATTAGACAATAATGTCAATGACAAAAGAATTCATCACAGATTACAGTCACATTATTAATAATGCATTTGTTGAGATTAAAAATGAACAAGAATAGACTGATTGTATCAAGGCTGCAACAAACACTTATTTTGATTGTTAAATGGTGGTGGTTATTTTTTTAAACAAATAAATCAAGGAATTCAAATTCACAGAAAAATACCCCAAAAATGTGTCCTGAGTCCAAGGTGATCCACTTCTCCAGTTGCTTGCTTTGTCCAATCAAGAATCACAAACCAAAACAATACTAAAAGTACAATGATACAGAGAAACGCAGCTGGAAACAGGGACTTCAGTGATTAATCAGTTATCATTGTCTGTCAAGTGATTAATTGACTAACTGACTAATAGGTTCAGCCCTAGACAGGGTGTCACCTAAGAACACTAGGGATGAATAAGAAAATACAGAATGTATGACAATATTACGGATGGATCAACTTGGTCGTGGTCTGTGCCTTCATTTCATACCTGTGCCAGTATTTCGTTACCTTTCATTTGTTGCCACACACAGAACAACATCATCCTGTCTTTGCATCTGCATTTGTTTGTACAGTATGTAGTGCAATATGTAAGCCTACTGTATTTCCCAGTCACACATTTATACATTCCTTCAAGATACTGTAGTCATCTGTCCAATTCATAGCTGGTAAAGTAAATAACAAACAGCTGTGGAAACACCTTATTTTACAGGTCCATGAATCTCTAATCATTTCCATTTATGTTTCTTGGACAGATGTCATTACTTATGAATAAAATGGTTTTCACTTATTGCATGTCCAACTGTTCATTCCAATTAATAAATATAATACAATTTATAAACAGGAAAGCATACAACACAAATGAACATTTAAGTTTCTAATAATACAGTAAATGCATAATTAATAAATGTTTAAATGTTTAAAATGAGTAGTTCTTTCAAGGAAATTGAAAGATGTGGCACCAAGTTTGTACCATGCACTTTGCAAAAGTAAAGTGATGAGCTTGTGCCATAATTTAATTCAGTGCAGTTGTCCCCTTGTCTTCTGTTTGATGATAACAAACAAACAACCTATCCAGCCACCTTAACAAGTTTTTAAAAAGTTTTAATTCCAATCTGGCGCTTAGATCAGAAGCAAAATTCCCAACTGTAAAGTAAGAGAAAGAACAACCCAGAGAAGCAGGATGAAGCATTAAACAGACACTTTACAAAATATAACTGATAAAGAAAAACTTAAATGGAGAAGCAGCATTGACGGATTTGTTGCACGCCTGAGAATAATGCTGGGGAAAGCATATGAGGTTTTGGGTGAGTTAAAATTCCAGCGTTATCTCCTTCCAACTTAAAAGAAGCAACTTCAATTTGTTGTTTACTCTAACTACTTAAAACAGACTTCTGCTCAGCTAATTCAGTAAGACAGCTATTACAGAGGACACCTGTTTCCAACTCATCAGGGGCAGAGATAAAGATGGAGACTTTCACTTCAGTCAAAGAATTTACTTTGGAAGCAGTGACTCTTATGTCGGTACATGCCGGTGCTGTAACATTAAATAAACATGCACAAGGTTTGTCTGTCATTCACTCTATGAACAATGTAACTCGGTGTTTTGCTGCTAGATGCTGTCACAGTTCAGTGAACATCACTTCATTGAGTTGCCTTCAGGGGCTTTGCCTCAGAAACCCTTCTTGGTTGACAAACATATAATAAGTGACTTGTTATCCTAATGGGCACAGAAGAGACGAAACGGTGAGCACAGACTGAGATCACAATATTTTGCATTGACTGGTCCATGGAGGTATGGCAGAATCAGTTAACATGCTGTATATATACATTTTCAAATTGAAGTTATAAAATGTAATAAGACAGACCAGAAAAGGGCAAAAACTACAATGGCAGGGAGCATTTAAAATTAAATTTAGATTGGAAAAATAAATAAAAGAATTACAAGGAGGAGCATACAAAGTGATCAAAATGAAAAAGTAGTGTTAAAAACATTTAGACATATTCTGTATTTCAACTTTGCAAATGCACAATGTAAACTCTGCTCTGTCCCCCCCGTTTGTTTTTGTTGCAAGAAGAGGCGTGTATCTGTCCTTATTTTGGGACCATCCGTTGCCAGGAAACTCACAGTCACAGCTGTCAGCTGAGGGCAGTTCATTGGTCTGTTACAAGAACAGCCAGGAATGTGAACTGATCAAAATACATGGTCACAAGCCAGGCCAAATGCAAATACAGAATCAGAATCAGAATCAGAAGGATCTTTATTGCCAAGTAATGTTTTACACATATGAGGAATTTGCTGTGGTGAAAAGGTGCTACACGTAGACAAACATACAGTCAACATAAATAAATGTAGAAATATATAAATATGGAAGAAAATGGAAGAACAACGTTGTAGATATACACTCACCTAAAGGATTATTAGGATCACCATACTAATACTGTGTTTGACCCCCTTTCACCTTCAGAACTGCCTTAATTCTACATGGCATTGATTCAACAAGGTGCTGAAAGCATTCTTTAGAAATGTTGGCCCATATTGATAGGATAGCATCTTGCAGTTGATGGAGATTTGTGGGATGCACATCCAGGGCACGAAGCTCCCGTTCCACCACATCCCAAAGATGCTCTATTGGGTTGAGATCTGGTGACTGGGGGGTCCATTTTAGTACAGTGAACTCATTGTCATGTTCAAGAAACCAATTTGAAATGATTCGAGCTTTGTGACATGGTGCATTATCCTGCTGGAAGTAGCCATCAGAGGATGGGTACATGGTGGCCATAAAGGGATGGACATGGTCAGAAACACTGCTCAGGTAGGCAGTGGCATTTAAACGATGCCCAATTGGCACTAAGGGGCCTAAAGTGTGCCAAGAAAACATCCCCCACACCATTACACCACCACCACCAGCCTGCACAGTGGTAACAAGGCATGATGGATCCATGTTCTCATTCTGTTTACGCCAAATTCTGACTCTACCATCTGAATGTCTCAACAGAAATCGAGACTCATCAGACCAGGCAACATTTTTCCAGTCTTCAAATGTCCAATTTTGGTGAGCTCTTGCAAATTGTAGCCTCTTTTTCCTATTTGTAGTGGAGATGAGTGGTACCCGGTGGGGTCTTCTGCTGTTGTAGCCCATCCGCCTCAAGGTTGTGCATGTTGTGGCTTCACAAATGCTTTGCTGCATACCTCTGTTGTAACGAGTGGTTATTTCAGTCAAAGTTGCTCTTCTATCAGCTTGAATCAGTCGGCCCATTCTCCTCTGACCTCTAGCATCAACAAGGCATTTTCGCCCACAGGACTGCTGCATACTGGATGTTTTTCCCTTTTCACACCATTCTTTGTAAACCCTAGAAATGGTTGTGCATGAAAATCCCAGTAACTGAGCAGATTGTGAAATACTCAGAAGGGCCCGTTTGGCACCAACAACCATGCTACGCTCAAAATTGCTTAAATCACCTTTCTTTCCCATTCTGACATTCAGTTTGGAGTTCAGGAGATTGTCTTGACCAGGACCACACCCCTAAATGCATTGAAGCAACTGCCATGTGGTTGGTTGATTAGATAATTGCATTAATGAGAAATTGAACAGGTGTTCCTAATAATCCTTTAGGTAAGTGTATAAATGTGCATTATTCTGGGTCTGTGCCGTTCAGAAGTAACGCAACGTAAGAGAATATTGTGTACATATAAATATATAAACAACAAAGATCAACAATCAACAACAAATATGTGCGACGTGCCAGGTCTATGCCCGACACGAGATGAAACAGTATTTACATGTGCAGAGACATTTGTATCATTTGGAAGTGGGGTGTGTCAGTAGGGGGACCCGGGCTTTGTTAATGAGGCTAGCTGCAGACGGGAAGAAACTGTTTTTGTGGTGAGAGGTTTTGGTCCTGATGGACCACAGCCTCCTGCCAGAGGGGAGAGTCTGAAACAGTTTGTGTCTGGGGTGGGAGGCTGCAATCTTTCCTGCACGCCTTAGAGTCCTCAAGGAGTACAGGTCCAGAAGAGAAGGAAGATTGCAGCCAATCACCTTCTCTGCAGAATGAATGATACGCTGCAGCCTGCCGTTGTCCCTGGCAGTGGCTGCAGCGTACCAGATGGTGATGGAGGAGGTGAGGATGGACTCAATGATGGTGGTGTAGAAGTGCACCATCATTGTCTTTGGCAGGCTGATCTTCTTCAGCTGCCGCAGGAAGTATATCCTCTGCTGGGCCTTCTTGGTGAGGGAGGTGATTTTCAGCTCCCACTTGAGGTCCTGGGAGATGATGGTGCCCAGGAAGCGGAATAAGTCCACAGTGGTGACTGGGGAGTCACACAGAATGATGGGGGAGGGTGGGGCTGGGCTCTTTCTAAAACCCACGACCATCTCCACGGTCTTCAGAGCGTTGAGCTCCAGACTGTTCTGGCTGCACCAGGTCACCAGATGGTCGATCTCCCACCTGTAGGCAGACTCGTCCCCACCTGAGATGAGCCCAATGAGGGTGGTGTCATCCGCAAACTTCAGGAGCTTGACAGACTGGTGACTGGAGTCTGTCAAGCAATAGCATTTTATGAAAAGTATTTTGCAGCTGACCTGAAAGTGTCTAGACAGGAATAAGGCAGACAATCCAGACCGAGTAAACCGCCTTTGACCACAGAATTAAGGGAAATAAGAAACTCAGAATGATCTTGCGGGGGATGTTTTCAATCTTAGTCAAACTTTTCTGTAATTCAGCTTGATATCAGTACGCTAACCATGCTATGGCATATATTCAAGGTTGTGTATGTTTCTGATGCATAAATTACCAGTAAATCAGTAAAGATGACACTTATTTATGTTCACCTGTTCTCATTATGCCTCTGTGTTTGACCTTACTAACAAACTAAAAAGACAGAGGATGAAAGAGTTCCAGGAAGATGAATCATCGATGTTAAAGTTATCTATGATTACATGTGGCAAATGATTCAATACATGTGCTGTTATTATTAAGCCAAGAAAATATATGTATACGAGCTTGTTTGCACTCTTGCAAGTGGTGTATAAGAGGTTTTCCTATGTTTGGTCATCTATGCAGAATCTCGGAGCTCTTTTGCTTTCAAAATGTGATACAAACTAGTCACATGTGTCTGCCATTTAATTGGTGTAGCTGTTATCTCTGCAACACAGACAGAAAACTCATTGTTTAGTCTAAAACACAAGGATTTAAACGTTAGAATTCACCCCATAGTCTGAGTTAGTTGTAACATACCCTGGGGTGAAATGTAACATTATGTAATAATGATTATTAGAAAAACATGATACAGAAAGCTTTTTATTCAACACCCGGTTTCCCCTATTGTCAACATTCACTCAACAATGTTGTTTTTAAGGATACACCAGATGTACCCTCTTGTGGCCACTTTTGTTTCATTAGAAAATCATAGCTTTTGGTTTAAGAGAGGAAATCACAGAAGCAGCTGTTTGATGAAAAATATTTAAAACTGAGCTCCTGCCTTTTCACAAAATTGTATTACATGTTCCAACTCCAAACTTTGTATGACTATCCAACAATGGTGCAGCTGCTGCCATGTCAAAGTAATGAGGAAGGTTGATTTCCTTGCTGCAGGTGATGCAACATGGGTCTTATTGGTGCATGCTGCTCTCTAGTGGAATAGTATGTACTGAATACCTACTTTGTTGAAGAAAAGCAATTTCATGGAAGTAATTTCTTGTAATTTATTCTCACACTTAATTTTGCCTGTCTAATAAAGTTAATAGACTCACTATCAACAGTTATTAAAAGGTAAACAAAGGTTCTGAGTTTCAGGTGATCTGAAAGTGTGATAACCCAGGCTATAGATACTCATTGTCTTTTCTCCTGTAATCAGATAACTGACTGTGTGTTTGATCACTGGGTTATGATAGTGAAACAGTAGAGGAAGTTTCTGGTTTAGCACATATTTGGCAAATATTTTAGAGGCAACTGCAAGACCTAAACTTTCTCCAGCTGAAACAACTTGAATGACTTTTATTTGTATCCATGCCAGGCGGCAGTGCTGAGTGTGTGCCAAAAGTATCACAGTAAATCCTAGAGCTCTTTACTTATGGTCATTCCAGTGATTAGATTTGTGACACTAATCTGTTAAAGGGTGCCGTTTGCATGCTTTACAATGATTCTGTTCTGCCAATATATACTCACCATCTGGATGGCTATTAATCACTTTGGCCTTAACCTACTCAAGCTTCTCCTTCTATGATTAAACCATAAACTGTCTCAAATCAATTTCCAGCTGCAAGAGAAACTGGCCAGTGTCACCATCTAGTGGTAAACAGCAATTATGTATGGTATGAAAATAGATGGATTGTGGGACATGGAGCCAATGGGCATCCACCCCATCGCCATCTTGCCTCTTCTCAGTGACATTGCAAACACTGCAACTCAACCTCAGTACTCTGTTCATGCTGAGGATGAAGAGTCCAAAGCTTCCTGCTACAACAGATCCACAGTGAATATGCAAGAAACTATAAGATAACATATGTACAAAAATGTATATAGAATCACCAAATGAAACCTGTGATGCAGGTTTTATTTTCTTAAGCAGGGTCTGTTCTGATACTAAACATCTTTAAATTTCTTTACTAATTTTAACGCAGGTTTTCTGCAGCGGGATATGGCCTTGGAACGGTATCAGGTGCAAACAAGAAGAGATTGGGACAAGTGTCACTTCAAACAGAAGCACACCACAGGCCCACTGTAGGCCAGTATGGTAATCCTTCCATTAGTGGTAGGCCAGTGTGTCACATTTAAAATAAACATTTATAATCTTATTTTACTGTTGTAGCATCTAGATAGCGTTGCAGTTTACTTGTAGTAAGAATAAGCATTTTATTTAAAGTTAAGGCCATATAAAAGAACTAAATTGCTGTATTTTCTCACGTTGGCCATATGAGGGCATTGTAGGCTACATTTTCATTTTATTATCCAGTATTTATTTAAAGACAAACAAGCCATTAGCCTCTGTACTTAAGTGTACCTTGTGTGCGTACCTTTTTAATGCCCTTCTGTACTCTATAATTGCATGGTTGTAGTTATATGTAAAAGAGCTCTTAAAGTTGGGCTGCAGATGTTTTTTTATGTTGTATGGTCAAAATAAGACACATAAACCAGGCTGAAAGCCTTGAATGGTACACATCAAATACCTGACACATATATAGAAAGTGTGAGACATGCTTGTGAGCACATCATGCAATGTTGCAACAAATTAGTCAGGGATCATATAGCTCAATACATCACAAACCATGAAAACATACCTCCCAGCAAAACACACGATCCCGTCCCATCACAACAGAGGGAATGCAGCCAGAGGGCCAATATGAAGCACACTGAAGACTGAAAATGAAAAGAGTAGGCCTCATAAACACCAGAACCTCATAATTTTAAATTTGAACAATGCATGTAGCGGTGTGACAAATACTGTACCTACCAACCATTAAAAACTCTAAGTCAAAAAAAGCAGAGACAATGGGAAGACAGATAGCTGACAAAGCGTGTCCATATGTCTCACTCATGTGGTGTGCTTGCATGCATGTGAGCATACGTAGCAGTTATTCCCTAACCTCTACTCTTCATGGTGTCTTGATAGATGGGACTTAGGACTGTTTTTGGTCCCAGATGTGTGCCAACTCATGTCTACCTTTGATGTTCATTGCTGAGTCTATTTTTTATTCTTTTTAAAGGGCAACATTCGTGAGTGGGCTTTACCGCAGGCAACTCTTTATTTAGAGCAAAGTAATGCAAAGGAAAACAGCACTGGAAACCAGTAACAGTAGAGTGAGAAGATCACTCAGCCACATCTGCTTCATGTGGTTTGAAGACATCAGGAGTGGCACACAATTTTTAAAACATCTTGTACACAGAGACGCATGCTCTCAAATATCCACACGATTACTGTATAAAAGACACAAAAACACAGACAAACATATACTCTGTCTCTTTCTGGGTAGGCTAAAATGAGAAAAGCACACATTGCCTTCAAGTAGACGACATAGGCTCGAGAGTACTATTGTAAGCTTATCCTGCGTTTACAAAAATTCCCCTCCCCATTAAAAAATGTTGACTAGGTTCAGAAAAAGATATGTGGATATGTTGATGAGACTCGTGAGAGAGAATCACCCAAGCTCAGCTGATTGATTGATGACCTTGATTGCTGATTGACAGCACCTGAGAGAGTGCAAATGCTCCAGAAGGCTTGCAGTATAAAAATAGCATCTTCTGCTTTGCTCCGGAATGAGCAGTTCTTTCCATTAACAGACCAGCTAGTTGTTCATATTCTCCAGAATGGGTGAGGTTTTGTGCTCTGTGTTCTTGCCAGTGTGTTATGGTTGGAAATTATGAGTTCTACTTGTTCTAATATTTAATTCTTGGTTTAGCAGGAAAGAAAGTATTGATTGTGTATGGCCACCAGAGCTCTGGCTCATTCAGTGCTGCAGCTAAAGATGCTGCTGTGGAAGTCTTTGGAACGAAGGGCTACACAACTGAAATATCTGACCTATATGCCATGAAGTTTAAAGCCTCTGCTACTGCTGAGGACATCACTGGTATATCAATATCTCACTGGCATTAAACCTGGCAGTTTTTTTGCTTTAGTTGCTCTCCATAATTTCAGGCAACATTTACTTTGTCTCTACAGGAGAAGTTAAGAATGCAGATCACTTCTGTTACGCAGAGGAGACCAAACTAGCATGGGAGGCTGGAAAACTGTCTGCTGACATCACCGAAGAACAACGCAAACTCACTGAAGCAGACCTCATCATCTTTCAGGTACAGGCTGACTGACTAATATGTTTAAGCCCAAGCCCTGTGCTTGAAACTAACTCAAACTCTTCTCAGTTCCCCATGTACTGGTTCAGTTTTCCTGCAATCATGAAGGGCTGGATTGACCGGGTGCTCACACTGGGCTTTGCTTACTCCCAAGAGAAGAGGTATAGCCAGGGCATCTTCAAGGTAAGGGATCAAATCAAGAGGTTTGCATTACGGGGGGGTGTGGGTGTGTCTCTGGCTTGTTTGAATTGGTTTTTCTGCACAGGACAAGAAAGCCATGCTGTCCTTCACCACTGGGTCTCACGAGTCCATGTTCAGTGCAAATGGCATTAATGGAGACATGAATGTCACACTGTGGCCGCTGCAGGTACTGGCCCAGCATAAACTGACTTGGCAAAGCATTTAATGGGTTATCAACTGTGGTAAACATTTGACCATATCACCACCGTTTTCCAGAATGGCATCCTGCACTACTGTGGCTTCCAAGTTCTGGCCCCTCAGATCTTCTGGGCTCCGTCTCACGTTCCCTCTGAGGTGCGAGGCACCATGCTGGAGGGCTGGCGTAAAAGACTGCAAGGCCTCCTGGAGGAAAAACCACTTTCCTTCACTCCTTTGGACTGCTTCGACAGGGAGAAGGGCTTCCAGCTTAAGCCTGACGTCTGTGAGAAACATGCCACTGAGGAGTTTGGACTGACTGTGGGGATCCACCTGGGCAAGCCACTACCACCCAACAACCAGATGAAAGCTGGAGTCTAAAGACTGCAAGATCTCGTCATTCAACTATGATGAATAAAAGCTGTCTAAGAACATCTACTGTCTTGGCAAGTTTATTGCACTATGACGAGTACAGCCAAAAGAATCCTCAGGGTGACAGACTCAATAGTGGCCAGTGTTTGCACAATACTTCTAGCTTGTTCAGAAGTAACCCACCAGTGTGTCTGAACTAGAAGTCTTTAACTGCTGTTTCTGGACAATGTACTGGGCCACATGCTTATCTTCAAGCTTTGCTGGGATCTTCTAGGCAAGATTCATTATTAATGGCTATAACACTTAGTTCAGTATTGCTCACTGTCACCCAGTCTTAAGAATTTCAAGAACATTCTGTCAGGGTACCTGCTCTCTCAACCCCATGTGACTTGATCAAAGAATTTTCTCCTGCATCAATTACTATAAACCTCTTTAGACTGAAATGGCCTCATGTTGCCTTTTACAGTGCACTCAAAGCACATGTATCCCATCTCTAGAATGGTATCCTGGATGTGACCTGTCAGATGGTGGAACTCTTGGGAGAAACGCCCCTCTCCTCTTATTCTCAGATTGCTTTTGATGGGGAGAAGTTCCCAGCTGAAGCTCATTTGAAATATGCTGAAAAGGAGTTTGTTCTGACAGTAGGAACCCACCTGGGGAAACCACTCCTACCCAACAGCCAGATCAAAGCTGGAGGGTAGTGATGAACACTGCTTATATTTTTGGTTAGTGCAGTAAAGCGTCATGTCTTGCTGAGTTTTGTGGAAGTTTTGACTTAAATGTTTAGGTGAGTTCTGTGCATGTTGCTTGTATGCCGTCTGTTGAAGCTGAAGTGCTCTGTACCCTGTACAGACATGCTGACGGCCAAAGAGTTTGCATGCAAGCTTGTCCCAGAGAAGCAGCTTTTGTTTGGGTATGGAGGAAATAAGATGTGGGGTGGAGTGAGGGGCACACTTAAGGAAACCGCCCTTGCACTCTGATTTCCAGACCATAGCCTGTGACATACAGGAACTGGACATTGTGCATATTTCACCGCTGAGGTTTCAAAGCCTGCAAGGAGATATGAACTACAGCAGTTCCGAAGAGACCCAACTTAAAGGACAGGTCACTAATGCTTGCTTTATAGACCGAAACAGACAATAACAGGTATTTGTACTCTAATACAGCTAATTGTTAAAAGAAGGCAACTATATAACAGAAATCATACAAAAAGACAGTAACTGCATACCATACTAACATGCCAGGAGAAGATATTATTTTCATTGAGAGAAGTGAGGGAACTTTGTGGGATTACTATTCCAGAGGAGGGCCCTCTCCTTAGGGAGGTCTACCCTCTCAAGGGCTGATTCACTCCAGCTCTTCTGGGGTTTTTGTAAAAACCCTATGTTTGGAAGTTACACAAGTCTTGTTTTTTTTCTTTATATTTATCCGTATTTCACTCTTGGCAACTCTGTTGTATGTTGTTCGTCTGCTGCTGTTCAGTGCAGCACTAAACTGTCTACAACCAAGCGAGTATGTTGAGGTTAAACAGAGGGGTCCCCCCTACCAGTAACGATGGCAGGAACCAGTCGAGGACTGAGGATTCTATCTCTTAATGTAAACAGAAATGTAAATCCACAAAAAAGGTACAAGATCCTGACTAAAGCAAAAAAGGAAAAGGCCCCTGTAGCCCTACTCCAAGAAACACATCTGTCTGATACTGAACATGTTAAATTAACGAAAGGGTCCTATAAACACGCTTTCTTTTCTTCATATAAATCAGGACATAGAGGGGTTGCCATTTTAATTTGCGACTGGGCCTTACAATTATTTGACATTATGTCCAATGAAACTCAGGGAATACTTATATGTGGAGGCGATATGAACATTAGATTATCCAAATTGGACACTTCTAGATCAGACCTATCTCAACAAAAATCGATCAGTAAAAAAATTAATGTTATTATGGAAGAACTGGGTATTATTGACATTTGGCGAGAGCTCCACCTAACCAGCAGGGACTATACACATTTCTCCGCACCGCACAACACCTACTCTAGGATAGACTACTTTTTTACTTTTAGTAAGGACAGACATAGAATTCAAGATTGTAAAATTGGGACAATTGATATATCTGACCACTCCCCCATAACATTGACAATGAGCATTAATAACAACCCGAAATCCTCATTTTGGCAAGTATCCTAAACAACCCCCAGGTAAAAGAACAAATAAAGACTGAAATCGAAACTTACTTCAAAGAGAACAATAATGGGGAGGTTTCCTCCTTAGTACTATGGGATGCCTGCAAAGCAGTGCTAGGGGTAAAATTATTGCACACACCACATTTCTGAAAAAACTTAAAAAGGAGAAACTTAATAAACTACAAGCCGAACTTAAGGAACTACAGAGACAACACAAGGACACATTAGACAATGACAAGAAACTAGACATAAAAAAAATGCTAAATGAAATAGGCGTTTTAAATCATGAAGAAATACAAAAAAACCTACTATTTCTGAGACAAAGATATTATGAGATAGGGCACAAAACTATTAGCTTATAAGTTAAGGAAACAAGAGGCAGACAGTACAGTTCATAAAATAAGACACCCTAAAACCGGATTAATACACTATGACACAGAGAAAATACAGCAAAGCTTTGAATCATATTATAAAAATCTATATTCCCAACCAAAAAATTGAACATTTCTTAACTCGTTGAATTTACGCCAAGTAACAAAGGAACCAAACGATACGCTAATTAGGGAAATCACAGACAAATAAGTCAGTGCAGCAATTAGCAGGCTGAAAGCCCACAAAAGCCCAGGTACATATGGCTAT